AGAGCCAGAGCCAGCCAAGAAAAAAGCTTTCTGAGGAGAGTACATGTGAGTGCAAACAAGTTAGTTTTTGGAAATCTACTCTTTAAAGATGCCTAACGTGCATGAAAATGACATAATACATGAAAATACAATTTGCTACTTTTACAAGTAAGCAGGAAAAATACTGAAATACAAACCAAATAATAACAAATGATTTATTACCTTAATTACACCTATCAAGGAGAGAAGATTATAAAAAAAGTGCAATGTTTACATGTGAACTTTATAGTGAGATTCAAGGTAGCATAGGTAGAAAACAAAAGTTTCAAGGAAATAGAGAAACATGTTACTTTAAAAGAATGCAAAATGTAATAATAGACATTCTACCTAAAATGTGAAACAATTCTGACTTGACAATAAAAAAACCCGGATGAGTTGAAAAACTGGTTAATGTCAATATAAAAAAAATAATCATTAGGGCACTCAAAGTATACTGAATACAACAGCAAGCCTTTGACATATTACAACTGAGTTTGGTATGCTGAATACAACAGCAAGCCTCTGACATATTACAACTGAGTTTGTCTAAACAGCAACACAAATATTGTCCCCTTTTTTCAAATATCTTTTTATTACACCAAAAGATACATTTCCTCTCCTTACCAGGGAACATTAAAGCTTAAAGCAACCATTTCAGCCAAATAGCAACTAGCATCTTCACGTGATACACATCTTCTATTTTGAAGATATTCAAGGAAAGGGTATTGATGAGGCTGAAAATGCTACGGCCCAGTGCACCGGCCTGACACTTTCTAATCATAGCATGCTTGCACTGAGCACGAACTGTAGCTGCAGCCACGGCGGGGGGACATACATAGCTTGCACAAGATGCGTCTGCATATAATCTTAAGCTGCACTTGACCTTATGACAGAGCAACAGCCAACATACAGTTGAGAGCACTTGAGCCCTTTAAAGCTTTCACCTTACAGAGCCCTGAGGGATATGTAAAATTAACACCGCATTCAGCAAACACCGGTGAATGGCCAGGGACAACAATGTTATTCAGAAACCAGTTTTATCAGCCACCTTGAAAAAAGACTATGAAGCCTTGGAACAACTTTTTATTGTGATACCAGTTTTCCATCCTCCTGCTATTTTTAATGACGAGTAGGTGGATTTATGTAGGATGAAAGAGTAAACTGAGTCCTGACTTGCTCTCCCTGAAGTATAACCTAAGTCTACAGAGCAGCACTGGGCCGGACAGAAATTGGGCCAGAGTGCATCTAAGAACTGAACTTAATTTGTATAAACAAACAAGCTTTATTTACAGTATTCCTTCATAAAATCCCAGGCTTAGAGTCTGCATGTTCTTTAAAGAGTCCATTTATGTACACTTGAATGCCTATTTAAGCAAAAAACAAGAGAGCTTTCCCATGGAAACCACACAGAGATGTTTTACTTCACACGTACACCACAAACAAGGCTGCTAACTTTCCATAATTTACTGTATTTTCTTAGGCTTGCTATTGTATTTTAGGACCAAATCTTTTGGAGAAGCTGCTTACGCAGGAGGCCACAGACATATAAATAAATGACCTAAGAGAGGCAAAGCCTGAGATGTGAACTGAGAGGAAATGGCATCTCAGCAGCTTGTAAGAAAATGTTAATATTTTTGGTTTCCCTGTTTCTAGCTGGAGGAACAGGTTAAAATTTAGTGTTTAGTTGAGAAACAAGCAATCTGGAGGCATTTGGAATCACATTATTTAATCAGGATTTGATTCCTCCCTTAGAATTAAATCAAGCCAGAGGGCAATCCCTGGGCTAAGACAATAGCAAACTTCAGTTACCAGATGCTATCTTTCAGTGATGAATCTAAGTCAGTGTGCCTCAAAGGAGCCAGGTGATTTTAAAAACTGCTTAAGAGGACAAGGAGAAAGAGAAACTCGATTTTGTGGACTTCATCAGACAGGCATACATTGGTCCAATTACTTCAGCAAGAACACAAGCAGTTTTTCTCTGTGAATGAAAAAGATCCTGCTAAACTGATACTCTGATTTGAGAATTTGCCTTTTAGATTTAGGTGATATGTGTTTAAGTGTGAATGCATACAATCTACTTCTATATGTATGTATTTTAGGGGAGTAATTTTGCTCCTACTTATAATTACTACTGATTGTCTCAAGGCTACAGCAAGGGGTTAAGTCCTAACTTCAAAAGAGATGCCTACCTCTGCTGGGGGCCACAAAGATAAGCAAGGATACCAAGACTTTCAAGTTTAGCCCCTGAGTTGAAGGAATTGGATGGGCTCACCTGTTTGGAAAAAAAAAACAAAACCCAAAACAACCCTGGGAAAAGGCTGGGCACAGAATCAAAGTCCCTTTGGCATGAACTTATGACAGCTCTGCCCATGAATAAGCCAGCTGTGTTGAGTTGCTGAAAACAGGGGCAGGGCTTGCCAAAATCGAGGATGAGGAAATCTCTGAGTGATGGTGTTTCAAACTTGGTGGTGCTTCTACATCTTACAAAGCAATGTGGTACACATGCTTCATTCAATACATGACTGGACAGCTAATGAACCCAGTTGGTGCAAGAGCAAGCAAAAGCCATCCTTGATGGTGTCTTAAGCCACAGGGAGGAAGATGGTGTAAACTGACCCCTCAAGTGTCTGAGAATAAGGGCGGAGAATTTGGTCAGATACCAGAACGGTCAAGTGGGAGATCCTGTGGCCCTAGAACAGTAGGGCCAGAAAGATAAACAGAGCTGTTTTGTCTCAAAGGATGCCAAGCACTTGGGAGACCATTTGGCTAAGAGGAAAAAAGACTACATATAAGCAAAACCTAATAGACAGTATTTAGAAACACAAACAAGTTGTCTCTGATTTATCCAGGGCTAAGTTTACTTCAGCTGAGCAGAATTACATTGCTTCTAGAGGCTAAATCGTGTATCCTTCCTTTCTGTTTTTATTTGGGATGTTTTGATGTGGTGCTTGAACTAATATATTTAATTAGAACACTCTCCTATATATCTACATATATTCCCATATACTTGGTCCATAACATGGCTACGGTAAAAATAAAGTAGAATGAAAAATTATTTGGTTGTGTTGAAACACACTAACCTATTCTAAGAAGCCCTAGCAAATCTTTTAAACACTGTTTACATAAGGTGCTCAATTGTGTTAAAATCTTTCTTAAAATATGCTAACACGTATCATAACATCATACTTTTCTTGATACAGATTTATTTATGGTACCTACTCAGGAATCACTAGTTGTTCCTGCAAGCAAAGCGCTTTTAACTAGAGCAGCTTCTCTGTCTCTTTGCAGCTCAATGATAGTTATTTCAGACATTGCAGCATACTTTCTTCCCCCGCTTCTCATCATCTTTCTCATATTATGTATCCAGTGTAAAACTTAAATGCAAAGGCTCAAACATAAGAGTGAATAACCTCACAAAACGTACATGTGATAGTAAGTGTACACATTTAGTGCTTTTTAAAAGAACTGTTATAATACTTCTAAATTTCAAGTGCAGGGTAGAAAAGTCCATTTGTATATACCCACTCATAAATGAATGGACTTAGCAGACAGCACATAGGTACTTGTAAGCTTCCAGCTGCAAAAGAAATGCATTTTGTAATATGGTCATTAAAAAAGCCACAGTAATGCTTCCAGTTATTCTTTTTTTTTTTCTTTTTAAACAAAATACTCATAATATTCTGCTAGAGAAAAGAAACAAGTCCACAAAAAGAAAAAAATCATATTTGATCAAGAAATAGCTCTCCTAGACAGTACGGTAGTAAAACCAAATGCTAGCAAAAAAATTTCTATTACAATGCATCAAAATCCAAAATCAAATGTTACTTGATGTTCTCCATAAAATTTACATTAGTATAAAATCTGCAAATGCTTCAGTCAATTGTTGTTTGCTTCCATCATTTCCAAATTACAATCAGTTTCTGACCATGCCATTCATTTGATTTACTCAGCTTGAACTATTTTCATTCGACTCTTATTTACGCATCTTTGCTAATTTAATTTAATCTTCTGATTGTCATTCAAAACGTTCATCCCAATATGCCTTGTTATTTATGCAGTTTAATGCCTTTACATGCTGAACAACTGATAATCAGCCTGCTTAAATCTCTTGCCGTTCTAACATTTTTACACTTCACAAAAATGAAATACTGCAGCAAGGCCGTTGCCCATACTGCTCTATTCAGGTAAAATCTGTTTTGCTTCATTAGAAGACAGGGGTAATATCTGGTAGACAAAGGGGGCACCGCTGCCCACGGCAGCTTGCCCTTGCAACAGAACCACTCTGGGGAGGCTGTCCTGTCATCTTTAACTAAAGGGGATACTCGGACTGAAGTGGTGTTTCCCCAGCCTGAAACAAGGGCTTGCAGAAAAACTGCAGAGGAAGGAGTCAGGGATTCTCTGTTTCCAGCCAACAGAAAAAGCAGTAAAGAAAGAGAGATTCAGACTTTCAGACAATTTTCTCAAGTTCTGATAGGACTGCCTCCTATGCCAGATTGGTGGTTTGCTCTACCTCCTCCTGTTCTTCCGTGTCTTTTTATTACAGCCTTATTCCATACCTTTCAGGTTTTTCTTCCTTGCTCTCCCCATCTCACATGCTTCCCTTCAGGGTCCCCCCCCGACGCCAACACAAAACCATGGAGTTACCTTGACTGAGTGCTACCATGCAGATTACTCCTGCTGGGGGCTATTTTGTCTACTTAGATTGGAAGCTCTTTGGCGCAGAGATTGTCACCACTCTGTGCCTGTACGACGCCTAGCAGAGAGAGTCTTCTTTTGATCAGTCCTCTGGCGCTAATGTAATAAGCATAATTAATAAAGTATCTGTCTATACTCATATACGGGAAACACTAGGACTATGAGAGAACAAAAACAGGTTCAGCTTTTATAACGCTGGAAATGTACAGTTAAATCCATGAAATTTCTACTGACAGATGACCGTGTAACAAAAGGAATATTTAGTAGGAAACAGCAATCTGACTTACTTTGCTCTCTTGGCCATTTCATTGCCATCCCAGCGGGGGCTGTAAGGGTAATTCTTCTGGGCCTGGGAGTACAGCTGGCCACTGTTAGTGAAGTGGTAGACGGACTGAAACGTTAGGGTTGGTTGGTCTCGAGGAAAGTAGAGGGGTAGGTCAACTGAAATAAAAGAAAAAAGAAGAAAAAAAAGAAAAAAGAGAGTCATAGAAATACAACATTGAGGGTTTGGTGTTGGGTGTGTGTTTTTTTTTTTTTTTTTTTTTTTAACTGGGACTATATCATTCCTTTCTATTGATTTAAAGGTGACAGAACAGGAGAAATTGATGATTACTTCTAAAATATACTTCTGCATTTCTTATAAGTAATGATTCCAACATATTGCTGTATGGGACAGTTTGCTCTAGCAAAACATTTTTATAAATTACATAATTAAAAAAAATGTTTAGCTAGTGTATTTCTATGCTAATCATAACATTTACCCCATGATTATTTTGTTATAGAAAAAATAATGTAGTATTTTCCTTTGTAGTGAAATTTTCCCTTTCAAAAATTCACAGAATACATTCTATTTATGCTTTCCATTCAAGAAACAAATTTATCTTTATCTGCTTTAGCCAATTCATTTTAGTGCCCCCATGGACATCAAAAGCATTATCATTCTCATTTTAGTGCTGTCTGAGACTTAAAGTGGTTAAACGATTTGATAAAGGATATAGAAAGATTCAGTCACATGAGTTGGAAAAGATCTCAACTTGCCGTCATCTGTTAGACAAAAAAAAACCCCACAAAACCAAAAACACACTGCGAAGTCAATAATACCCAAAATATCTCACTAAAAATAAAAATCAGAGCCTCTTAGTTCCCTTTGCTTATCACTGTCTCATCATCAGCTAGGTCTGGCAGAACAATAAAATAGTCTACAACAGTTAATAATATGGTCAGAAACTGGTTTTTAACTTAACTTTTTTATTGCTAGAGTTATACTTAAGATTTTCTTGGTCTACTTTTAATTTCAGGAGCCTTCAGAAATCTGTAGTTAAACTGAGTTATGACAACAGACTTGAACTGTTTATATTAAATGTCTAATCTAATACCAAAATTAACAGAAGAATGTGCATTTCTTTTAAAGGTGTAGACTTCATTTATAAAGCACCTACGACTGTACTTTTTGTTATCCTCCAAATCACAATTCTTTAGTTCTGCACAATGAAAGAACAGTGCAATGGAACAGTAACTCCCTGTAAACCTTAAATCATTTTTCCTATTGGTGTAGCAATGAGTGAAATAAATTAGTAAGATTATAATTCATTCATATGAGCCTGGGTTCTCAATATTCTCTCTTTGTGACTTCACAGTCCTTTTTAAAGAGAAGGAAAAACTCCTAATTAATAAACAGGATGTAAAAGCTGAAGTAGGAGCCAAAGCAGGTGGCAAAACCAGTACAAACAGAATTTTAAGAAAGAGAAAGGAACATTACAGGACTGAACCCATCCTCAGGTGGAACAGGATCTCCCCTCCAGTACGCTTGGTAATGCATTATATTTTCTACTTTTAAATACTTCATGAAGCACTGCCTTTGAAATCTCTGCTCATAGACTGAGATATCAGTGTAAGACAGATTGTATTTTTCTAAATCCCATGCTATCATTTTGCTAGTCCCTTCATTTTTCAGTTTTTCTAATCATGTCTGAATACTTGGATGTGCATCAGCCAAACCATAGCTCCCTGTTCCCTGAATTACCCTCCAAACTCCACAAGTAAAACCGTTTGTAGCTGTGAAGTAAACAAAACCGAATGTGATATTCCAGTTACAGTCTCAAAATACAACAAATTACTGTGGACGACAGTGTTTGCTCAATTCATGACCCAGTGGCTGAGCTACACGTGATAACTCCCCGAGTCCTGGTGACTCAGATCACACAGCAGCTTCCAGCAGATATTTAAGTGGTAATGACACGGGCAGAGTTCTGCTAATTTGAGGGCAGATCACTGCTGTAACAAAGGTTAGATTCAAAGACTGCTCCGTCAAATTCCTCTTTATAACATGATTATTAAATAACAACCCTGAAAAACATCGGTTTATCGAGGCCATTTATCAGCAAGCAAGCTGTCTCCTCCCCTCGCAGACAGTACGTGTGTGCCGTAGCCTCTGAAGGACTTCACCGTGGAAAAGAGTATGAAGCAAGGAGACAGGCTCTCCGTTTTAACGTTATAAATATACTTCTTCAGCTCTGAGTGCTTAAACTCTGTTCCCCTAGTGCATCTTTTTCCTTCCTAAGTACCAACTCCTTGAAGGAAAACTACTCTGTATGCTTGTGTATTTTATCACTGTGTGAAAGGAATAACAAACTTTAGCAAAACACGCGAGTAATAGTTCAGTCCTTATACTTAACGTTTTACTTGAGAATTTCTAATTTTCATTAACTTTCCTTTGAGAACCTCTGTTTACCTAACGGGGGCAAGCAGCAGCAGTTACCTAAAACTAAAGGTTTGGACGTAAGAGAAGGTATCTAGCACTAGAAACACTGTTTAAATGGATAATCAAGACATTGCTATCACTACAGAGATGATTCCATTCGTTACAAGAAGCCTTTCTTTTATAAAAATATTTTTCCAACACTGGTATCACCAAAATATAACAGAAAACATTTTCTTCTTTTATTAACCAAAACCCGTATAGGAATTTTCAGGAATTACTTACATTATAAACTGTTAAATCAGATAATCAAATTAGATTTAAAATTTTGCATCCCACATCTGGCCCACAGCAGTATCATCCTGAACTGCAAGTAGAGTTTTGAAAAATTTGACCTGCCTTTGATTTCTAACACTACCCTTCACCTAAAATTGCCAAACCCCCATTTTTCTAACCCAAGTGTTTCCTAAATACAAGGTGTGAGATGAGTCCAGACCAAGTAAAAAAACCCGTCCCTAATCCTGGAACACAACCACACCTAAAAGACCAGTAAACAGGAAACAGCCCTGAGTTGTAAAGTGTTATACATATCTCAAGGTAGCCAGCTATTATTTCAGCAGTAGGAAAGGAAGGCAAGAACTCACTTCCGTCGCCGTGGATGCCCGTTCATTGACACTGTGCGTGCACAGAATGCTTGGATTTGGGGTGAAGTGTTTTATCGTACATGAAAAATAAGCAAATAACATTGGTAATCAAGGCTAGCAAGGTGCTTTGAAGATAAAAGGTCAAATTCTGCTCATAGTCACGCAGGTTGATAAAGAAAATTTTTCTTTTTACCTAGTCGGATCGGCAATCTGACTCTCAAATCTGTGCATTGATACAAAATCAGATCTGCCTTCACGCGATACGTAAGGTGGCAGAGATAAGTGTTATCATGATTACGTCCCAGACAACATTTACACTTTGTCATGAAAAATGCATCACTGTTAAAAACAACGCACCGCTTTTGTAAATCAACACCTGAACTAGACAAACTTTTATAAGCCCGCTTTCATTTGGCATGCTAGTTACCTAAGAACTATGAAAACGTATTCATGTTGAATACAAGTACTATTTCCAAATAACAGCTGACTCACAAAGTACCCTGGTGATATGTCTGCAGAAAATAAGCAGATGACTCATGTCTGTAAATTCCTGAAAGTACCAATAGACCCCTTGCTTAGTCATCTTTTGCTTGGATGCTGGGTTCATGAGCTCTGTAAACTATAATGAGGGATCTAGCTCTTAGTAGGACTCTCTCTCCCTTTTTTCCTCTCTTCTAAACAGTGCAAATTATCTCTCTAAAAATAACTTCCTCTACGTAAGTGAGTCACTTCAACTAGCAAGCTTATACAAGTCATGCAGTTAAGCAGTAATATTTGGTTATGAAGGTAAAAATCTTGCTGTCAAACTCAGATTTAAAACGAAAATTATGTCAGAGGAAGTCCCATTTACCCCTTCTCTCACAGAAATAGAAACATTTCCTTTGGAAAATTTAAACAATTAGCTCATTCAGGAAAGTAAAGCTTTCTAATTCAGTTCCATGCTCAAAGTAATTTAATCCTGATGATTTCTTACTTTGGCTTTCCTAAGCATCACACTGTTAATATAAGAGGAGCTCAAAGAAGCAGACTGGAGAAAGAAGCCAATACCACAGTAAAACACTGCTTTCTCCTACATTACAATTTACAGATCATTTTTTAAAAGTCAAGTTTTAGAAAGCCATAGTGTGGGGAAAATCACATCTTTATGAAAGCTCTACATGAGCAGAACTTGGAGGGCTGTTTTGGGTAATTAAGCATTGAGTAAATTCTTCGGTGATTGAACCCTAATTTTCCCCACACAGTTCATAAGAAAGCAAAAGAAAAAGGACTTGCTTGTTGAGAATGAGTCATGTTGTAAAGAAACTTAATTACAGTTTATAAATAGCTGAAGTTGCTCTCTTTTTGAAACACAAGAAACTATTGAGAAGTAACACACAAATTTGCTTTTCTTGACTTAGTTAGCATATAATGCATAGATATGTTCAAAACATAGTTTTCTTGAAGCCAAAATCCTGATTCATTAATAACTAAAAGACTGTGCAATGAATCAGTAAGGTTTAATTGTTCATTTTCTTAAAGAACAACCATCTGAGAGCTGGAACAGGTTACCTAGTTTGTTAAGCTCATGTCAACAACTGCAGAGTTGATTTCGACAGTCTTACTAACTTTAAAATAATATCCTTAGCATCTAATTTTATAGCTTTTTAAACAGGGTATGAAATGTGGAAGGGATGTCCCGGCAAAAGCATATACCAGTGCTGCTATAGGGTTTCTGAAGGAAAAATGCTTAGAAGAAAAAGGCAGGTTTACCACAGCGCTCCCCTCCCCGCCTTTAAGTACTGGAGAGAAGAGAAGGGAAAACAAAACCATGCTTGAAATGCATGCTGGCCATACAAATATTTCAAAGTACTTAGATGGTAATATTTAGAAAATTTTCCATATACCGTTCCTCTGTTCTAGAGAGAAGGTTTATTCATCCTTTGTACGGCACTGGATAAATCTAGATATTTGTTTTCACAGAAGTCAGCATTTACTCACTGAATGTTATGTACCATTTTAATGCTTGGATGATACTATACTGGTTATCTTATTAACCTTCAGGATGCTTGAATCTGCTGCAGTTTATTGCACCTGTAATTTGTTTTGCACTCATAAACACT